CGCTTCAATAGTAGATTCGACCTGCGAGGTGCAATCCACGTTAACAATATACGTAGTGCGAGCTGTGCGGAGCAACCTATATTAAGCAATATACGTGGTGCAATATGTGTGGTGTAATCCGCCGACACCTGCTTGCCGGGGGCGAGAGGGCGCGTGAGATGATTGAGTGTTCCCCTCCCTTTTTCCCCCTCCCCCCGAATCCAAAAATCTCGTAAAGGGAATGTAACCAAGCTCGTCGGCGCACCCGGGGAGACCCTGGAGCTTCTATATCTGCCTTCCGTGGCCTCATAGACGCTCCAAAACGGCCCCGAATCGCGGAACGATTGGTGCAAGACGCGCGCGGTGGCTCCAAGACGCCCCCGAGGCGCCCTTCCCAAAAAGGACCCCGAGAGGCCAAAAACAATGGACCCCCTTTGGCTTTTCATTGTTCCTGGGGTTCTGGTTTTCTCGAGCTTCCGACGCTCCAAGACGGCCCAAGAGGCCCCGTAGACAGCCCCAAAACTGCTTAAGAGGCCCCTACGAGGACCCCAGGACGGTCCAAAAAGGTTTCAAAACGGCCCAAAGACGGACAAATATCACCCCAAGCGGCCCCAAGAGAGGCAAAGAGGGAGAAAACGAACCGACCAGTCGATCCACCCCCCCCCCAAAAAAAAAGGCCCCCAATGGCCCCAAGAAGCCCACAGAACCCAAAAGAGGCCCCCAATAAGCTCCAAGGACACCTAAGGAGGCCCCCAAAAAAACCCAAAACAGGCACCAAGACGCCTCAGAACTGCCTCCAAGACGTCCCGCCAGGCCCCCAAGCATCCCCCACGACCCCCACGCGAGTCCCCAGATAAAGCCCAAGAAGCCCACGACGCCTCAACCGTGGACTCCCCGCCTATTGTGGGGGCTGGCGGAATGGCGCAAGCCTCTGGAATACAGGCGGCGCAACGATGCAGTGCGTATGCGGTGCAACATACGTGTTGCAGTCGAGGTGGTGCAAAGCACCCTGCCGAATTTCAAACTGACAGCCCCACTGCTCGCGCAAGCACCCCTTCCACCCACCCGTAACTTGGTTTGCGAATCCCGAGGGGCGACCATGGCGATGACTGCTGGGCGTTGGTTGGCGCACCGCTGCGGCCGCGCTAGCGCGCGCAGGCTTGCGCGCAGCGCGGGCAGCTGGTCTGGCGCGACCGACACGGCCGCGGTGGCGCTGACACGACAGCTGGGGGGCTTCCCAGCGCGCTTCGCAGGCCGGGCCGACGCGCGGGCTCTTCCGTGCGAGTCGGTGACTCGGGCGGGCACGGTACCATGGCGACGTCGACAACGGCATGCACGGTGGTGATGGGAGCGATGCTGGTGACGACGGTGGCGACGACGACGGCAAAGCCCATGACGGCGCCGATGCTGAGCACACCGATGACGATGATGGGGCCCACGTGTCGGTGATGGAGGTGCAGGACGGAATTCGGCATGCCCGCGCGGCCGAGGGGCACGAGCGTCCCGCACAATACTATTTCACAGGGATCGTGCCCCCCAGAACGCGCGCAAGGGCGTTCGAATGATTTCGACATGCGCGCGAGAGAGGCCCGTTTGGTCTCATGTGGTGTAAATAATGGAAGCCGATAGCTTTCCTCAGAATTCGCAGGAGCGCGCGCGAACCTTCTTTACAGAAGATACGGTTGCAATACCATGGCTGCTTATATGTGTCTGGGACATTCGAGCTTGATTTCCGTACGAAACCCAAGGTTTTTCAAGGATTGCGGCATGCGCGCATGACGACGCGCGCGGGTACACTTCGTCGCATGTGTTGCAAGGGATCCTCGGAAACTCCAAATGTTTGATAAACGGGTATGCGCACATACTATGTGTTGCAAGGGATGTGTGGAGGGGAAACCTGGCCTAGCTGGGATGGTCTGAATTCATAGTTAGAACGAACAATGGGGCAGAATCATGTGTAAAGTCCAATCTCCAGGGAGGGGGGGGACAACCCCCGGGGAGGGAAGATCCTAATTCTCCAAATAAGCTTGCCCTATAGGAGTTCTAATTCCTTCTCTACTAATTGGTCCGTTGCCCCCCACCCTAATTCCTATGCCCCACCCTAATTCCTATGGCTATGCCTATGCCTATGCCTATGCCTCCCCCCAATTCCTATGCCTATGCCTATGCCTATGGCTGGCTCTCGCTTGTTTGCTCCTGCTTGCTTGCTTGCTCTTGCGTGTTTGCTCTTGCTTGCCCTTGCTTGGTTGCACTTGATCGCTGGTTATTGTTTGCTTGTTATTGCTCGCTTGCGGTTGCTTGCTTCCGTTTGCTTGCTTGCGCGTGCTTGATGTTGCTCCTCCCGTCCTCCTCCCGTCCTGCTCCCGTTCTCCTTTCGTCATCCTCCCATCCTCCTCTCGTCCTCTTCCTGTCCTCATATCTATTTGGAGTCAACGCTGGCTGATTTTCTTTTTGAAAAGGATAATCAAAGTGGTGCAAACTATGTGGTGCAAGCTATGTGGTGCAATACACGTGAAGCGAACTACGTGGTGTAAGCTATGTGGCGCAACATGTGTGAAGCAAACTGTGCGGTGCAATCGATGTGGTGCAAACAATGTAGTGCAATCATTGTGGTGCGATCTATATGGTGCAATCGATCTGGTGAAGGCTATGTGGTGCAATCTACGAGGCTCACACAGCCAAAATTGCGACCAGCATGCAGCGGCGACAACGACGACGGGTGGCCATGGCAAGAGCAAGCGCGGCGGCCGAAGCCCCAAGTGCAGAGGCAGCGGCGGCGGACGGCGGCGACGGGCGGCGACGGCGACGACAAGCCGGCCAGACGGACACCCATAACCAGCCTCGAACGTATCCCTATCCCTAAGACTAACAAGCCAAAAGTCGACGACAATCTTAGGGATGCGCCCTCAGAAACGGAGGGAATCCCTAAGATCGGCATCCCAGGCTGGTGAACCCAGGCTGAGTTTCGTCTGGACGGAGTAAGAGCCCCTAAGTGTAAGCACTGCTCAGGGAAAGATTGTCCGACGGCCTCTGCGCAGCTCGACGGCTCGAGGCTCGATCCGACCTCCTCCCGCGCACACGGGAGCGCGCGCGCGCAGGCGCGGGGGAAGAGGAGGGGGGAGGGAGGGAGGGAGCAGGGGAGGAGGGAGGAAGCGAGGGAGGGAGAGAGGAAAGGGAGGGGCGGAGGAGGAAGTGAGGAGGAGGAGGAGGAGTAGGAAGTGAGGAGGAGGAGGAGGAGGAAGCGCCCTCTGAAGGCGGGACTCCCCAACAGCCCTTGGCAACTCCAAAGCCCAATGGCAGAATCTCTCTGATTCATCTTCGCACCCTAGGCAGGACAGGAGGTCGTGTGCAAGGCGGGCACGTTTAGCTCTCGCGAGCCCGCTTGCGAGCACTTCGCCGTCCAGCCCTCCGAACTCTACATGTGCGCACGACCGCAAAGGGAAAGGGAGGAAGTCTTCGACGAGATGCCAGAAGCACTGTTCAACACCCAGAGGGCTTCACTTGACAACGCTGAATCTTGTTCTTTGAGGGCCCTGACACCCCGACACTCCGGATGTCTCTCTGGATGGCCAAGCCACCTAATACACCAGCTCAAACGAGCAGAGGCCAAGTCTTCCGTATAACTGCACGAACAAGGAGGAGGAGGAGGAGGAGGAGGAGGAGGAGGAGGAGGAGGAGGAGGAGCCAGCAGGACAACGCAAACCTCCATCGAGCTCGGTGGAGCCCCCCCCCCCCCAGGCGGCCCCGAGGCACACGTGCTGGGAGCCCTGCGCCTGCTCGCAGGCGGGGGATCCTGCCGTTGGCCTCGGGGACGCCCGTGAGGGGTTCCTATGAGCAGATTGGTAGAGGCCCTGGTGCCTTCCCCCCGGCAGTGTGGGCAAGACCGTCACCGTTTGCTGTCAGCGGCACGCTTGCCAACGCACCTCCACCTCTGCGAACTCCACTCTGCGGTTAAAAGCAGCAGCTGACTTGTCAGAGGTTCACGCATCTTTTCAACCACCTCAGCCCCAACTCACCCTGCCTCGTTCTGCTGCCGCGTAGGAACCAACGTCCCACCTCGTAGCTCCAGGCGATCACCCTGGCAGGGATGCCAGGCTTGCAGGGGCCCCTGGCGCGAACGGCCGCCGCGCCGCCCAACCTTTCCTCGCAGCTGCCACCTGCCTGCAACCCGTCGCCTCCCTCACGGTTTTCTCAACGCCTGCCCCGACTCGCCACACTGCCTCGTCCCCACCCCACGCGCCACGCGGCCAGCGCCTGCTGACTTTTACCACGCAAGCATGGCGTTGGGGCAGAGCAGCTGCCAGCTGCAGCCCCTCCACGCTCTACCTCTGACAGAGCAGGGCACCTCCACGGGGGGGGGACCCTAGGGCGCCCCCAGGGCACTGGCCCCGAGAGGCGGGGGGACCCGTAGGGAGGAGGACCCTCTACGACGGGCCCAGCGGGCCCACCACGAGCCGCGCTGCTACACACGCGCTAGCCACATCATGCCCATCTCCTTGTCCACTCTCTTGAGGTTCGGATTGATGATGTTGATGTGATGCCTCTCCTGATTCCCCCTCCTCCCTGTCTGTCCCCTTTAGCTTGTCGCTCTACTATTGTGTTACACTCCACCAGGGCTGGCTTTTGGCCAGCCCTAGGGGAAGTGACAGCGTGCGGAGCACACCAATACCATCAGGAGGTCAGGAAATCATGAGGAGGACATGGGGAACAGAACCAAGGAGCAGGAGGAGGAGGAGGAGGAGGAGAGAAGGAGGAGGAGGAGGAGTAGGAGGAGGGATAACGAGGATAGCGAAGATGGCGAAGAGGAGGAGGAAGACGATCCACGATCTTCCTTCCAAACTGCAAGGAGGATGAGGAGGAGAAGAGGGAGGAGGAGGAGGAGAAGGGGTAGCAGAGAGGGAAGGGGAGGGCAAGGGGAAAAGGAGGGGGGGAAGAGGGAGGGAAGGGAGTAGACGACGACGACGACGACGACGACGACGACGACGACGACGACGACGACGACGACGGCGGCGGGGCACCGCGGCCGCCTCCCCGCGGGCCGCGACGGCGGTGGCCGGCGGCTCGTCGATGCCCTGCCAAGGGGGAGGGGGGCGCAGGCGGCGAGGGGAGCTGGCGCCCGCGGCGGGGGGTGCCGTGCCTGTCCTTGTCCTCGTCTCCCGTCCTCCCCCTCCTCCTCCTCCTCCTCCTCCTCCTCCTCCTCCCTCCTCCTCTCCTCCTCGTTTTCTCCTCCTCCTCTCGTCCTCCTCCCTCCTCTTGCTCCTCCTCCTCCTCCTCCTCCGACAAGTCCTCCACCACCTCCTCCTCCTCCTCCTCCTCCTCTTCCTCCTCCTCCTCATCGTCATCATCCTCATCCTCATCCTCCTTCCCCTCCATCCCTTTTCCGTATCAACAACTCGTCCCTCTCGCATCCCCAGCCGTGTAGGTAGGGCGGGCCGGGCGTTTCGCCGACTTCATCACCATCTATGATCCAGGAGCTCGAAAGTATTATTAGCTTATGGATTGACGGCGGGTCGTTTTCAAAATGTGGCTCTCGCCTGAGCGCCGCGCACATCGTCGTGAAAGTTTACAACAATTCCATGGATTAAAGGCGGGACGTTTTCAAAATGTGGCTCTCGCCTTCGCGCCGCGCATATTCATCTAAAAGCTTGCAACTGCTTCAAGGATAAAGGGCGGTTCCTTTTCAACATTAGCTCCCACTGTTTAGCGCCGCGAACATTCGTCTAAAATTCTACAGCAGTGTCGGGGATCGAGAACGGTACAACTCAGGATAGTAAGGACGCAGCTGTCACGTTGACTCGCAGCGCTGAACTCCCAGGAAATTGATTTTGGCACGATTGAAGATTCTCAGACCGCTGTCTGCAAATGGGGCTCTTCCCGAATCAAAACAAATCATTGGAGCCCTGTGACGACAAAACTTGGAGGTATGGTGTGTTGCAACATCGCTGGTGCGTCTTGGATTTACACTGCTCCTCACCCTCCTCCTCCTCCTCCTCCTCCTCCTCCTCGACACATCCTCGCAGTCTGCCCTGAAAGCAGAGGAGCCGCCGACGCCAAACGGGCGCCTTGCTCGAGACATCCCCATAATCTCGCCGCGAACGAGCGAGTGTCCCCCAAGCTGTCGGCTCCCCCATGAGGTGCCTAAGTGCGATGCCTGCTCCACCGAGGTGGTGAGGGCTGAGTGTGAGTGAATCTGAGTGGGAGTGGATACGATCGAATGGATGTATATGTGAGTGAGTCTTGGAATGAGTGGCCTAAGTGTGAGCCTGCGTGTGAGTGGATGGATTGGAGCTAGAGAAACCGCCTCGCTAGAGACATCCTCGCAAACTGCTCCGAAAGCAGAGGAGCTGTCGACGCAAGACGAGCGCCTCGATCGAGACATCCCCATTATCTGGCTGCGAGCGGGCGAGTGCCTCCCTCCCTGGCGGCTCCCTCTTGGGGTCTGAGCTCTGAGTGTGAGTAAGTCATACCTGTGAGTGAGTCTGAGAATATGCGTCTGAGTGTGAGTGAGTCCGAATATGAGTGAACTGAGTGCGAGATCTGAGTGGGAGTGAGTATGAGTCCTGGTGTGGGTGAGTGATCCTGCGTGTGAGCCCGAAAGAATGACCATGGGGCTTCTGAGTATGAGTCAGTGACTAGCCGGTGCACTGAGTACGAGGAAGTCTGAGCGTGAGTGGTCTGAGTGCGAGTGAGTCCGAGTGCGAGTGGTCCGAGTGTGAGTGTGAGTGTAGTCAGAGTGTGAGCGGGTCTGAGTGTGAGTTAGCCTGAGTATGAGTCTGACTGCAAGCGGGCAGGGAAGATGGAGGAGGCGGGAAGGAGGAAGGAGGGAGGCGAAGGCATCACGCTGATAACAAGAGCCCCATGCTTTGGATATGGAAAAACGGAGAGGGTCGTTGCGCGCAGGGCCGCGGCATCCCAGCAGGCCCCCAGCGCGCTCCTCGAGCCCAAATAGCTGGTACTCAAAGAGCAGCGGAGCGCCGTCCTGCTTCTCCTCTTCCTCCTCCTGCGGCGCGGGGGAGGGCGCAGAAGTACCGCTTTCTAAGGGAGCATGGGAAGAGGAAGGACGAAGGAGGCTCCTCCCGCTGCGTCACTCCTCCTCCTCCTCCTCCTCCTCCTCAACCCTTTTCCTCCTCCTCCTCCTCCTCCTCCTCCTCCTTCTCCATCTTCTCCTCCTCCTCCTCCTCCTCCTCCTCCTCCTCTTCCTCCTCCTCCTGCTCCATTCCTTTTCCTTATGGATAACCCTGTCGCACCGTGAGGGCAGCTTTTAGGGCGGGCCGGGCGTTTCGCCTGCGACTTCTTCACCACGTATGACCCTGAAGCTGAAAAAATGCAAGAGATTCACGGATGGAGGGCGGGCCGTTTTCAAAATGTGGCTCTCGCATTAGCGGCGCGCACATCCGCTCTAGAAAATTGCACGAGCTGAACGGATTGAGGGCGGGCGAATTTCAAAATGTGGCTCTCGCCTTCGCGCCGCGCCCATTCGTTTTAGAAAGGTGCAATCGCTTCACAGATGGAGAGCGGGTCGTTTTCAGAATGTGGCTCTCGCATCAGCGCCGCGCACATTCGCTTTCAAGATTTCAAAAGTTTCACGGATTGGGGGTGGGTGGTTTTCAACATGTGTATCTCGCCTTAGCGCCGCGTACATTCGTTTTAAACATTTGCAGGAGTTTCACGGATTGAGGGCGGCTCCTTTTCAACATGTGGCTCTCGCATCAACGCCGCGCGCCCTCGCTTTAAACAGTTGTAAAAGCTTCACGGATTGAGGGCGGTTACTTTTCAGAATGTTGTTCTCGCCTTCGCGCCGATTTGCAAGAGTTCCACGGGTTCACATGAGCAACGAATCAGAAATGGTGTTTTCGAGGGATTCAGGATTACGAGGGTGCAACAGTGATGTTGACTCGCGGTGTTGAAGTCCCAGGAACGGCGTTCTGGCAAGATTCAGGATCGCCCAGGCGCAACAACCAGATTGATCCGTGGCGTCGGAATCCCGAGAACCATATGTTGGCATGCTTCAGGGTCTTCAAACGGTTGTCTTCCAACGAGGCAGTTCCCTCAGTGGAAATGAACTGTCGAAGAGGCCTATGAAGAGGGAGCTTGGAGGGAGGGTGAATTCCAACATCGTTGATGCCTCTTGGGTTTACACTGGTCCTCCTGCTTCTCCTCCTCCTCCTCCGCCATTTCCTCCCCCAGCTCCTCATCACTTCTCCTCCTCTTCTTCCTCCCCCTCATCCTCTTCAATCTCCTGGCCTTCCACCTCCTCCTCCTCCTCCTCCTCCTCCTCCTCCTCCAACTCCTCCTCCTCCTCCTCCCATCCTCATCTTGTGCTTCCTCCTCCTGGCATCATTAACATTATTATCATCAGCATCATCATCACAGCAGCAGCAGCGTCATCGTCATCGTCATCGTCATCGTCATCGTCATCGTCGTCAGCATCATCATCAGCATCATCATCAGCAGCATCATCATGAGCATCATCATCAGCATCAGCAGTATCATCAGCATCAGCATCATCATCATCATCATCACCACCACCACCACCACCATCATCATCATCATCATCAGCATCAGCATCAGCATCAGCATCAGCATCAGCATCATCAGCATCATCATCATCATCATCATCATCATCATCATCATCATCATCGTCAGCATCAGCAGCAGCATCATCAGCGTCATCATCAGCAGCAGCAGCATCATCAATATCATCATCATCAGCAACAGCATCATCATCATCAGCATCATCATCATCGTCATCAGCTTCGGCAGCAAAAGCATCATCATGCTCATCAGCATCAGCATCAACATCATAATCGTCATCAGCATCATCATCAGCGTCAGCATCAGCATCAGCATCAGCATGATCATCATCAGCATCGTCATCATTATCATCATCATCATCATCATCATCATCATCATCATCATCATCATCCTCATCATCCTCAACGTCATCATCATCAGCAGCAGCATCATCATCATCAGCATCATCATCATCATCAGCATCATCATCAGCATCATCATCATCACCATCATCATCAGCATCATCATCATCATCATCATCATCATCATCATCATCATCATCATCATCATCGTGTTCATCGTCATCATCATCATCATCATCATCGTCATCATCTCCATCGAAACCATCATCGTCATCATCAGCAGCAGCAGAATCAACAGCATAATCAGCATCACAAACAGCATCAGCATAATCATCATCATCGGCATAACAGCAGCATAATCATCATAAGTGTCATCGTCATCATCAGAGTCATCATCATCAACATCATCATCAGCATCAGCATCATCATCAGCATCATCATCATGGTCGTCATCATCATCATCAATATCAGCATCATCATGATCATCATCATCATCATCATCATTATCATCATCAGCATCGTCGTCGTCATCATCGCCGTCATCATCATCAGCAGCACCACCATCATCACGACCAGAAGAATTAGCATCGGCGTCAGCATCAGGATCACGATTCTCATCATCATCATCATCGTCATCATCATCATCATCAGAATCACCCTCACCATCAGCATCATCATCATCATCATCATCATCATCATCATAAGTGTCATCTTAAGTGTCATCGTCATAATCATCATCATTATAATCATCAGCATCAGCATCAGCACCATCATCATCAGCATCGTCATCGTCAGAATCGTCATCCTCATCATGGTCATAATCGTCATCAACAAGTACAGCGCAGCAGTAATCATCGTCATCCTCATCATGATCATCATCACCATCAGCATCATCATCATCATCATCAGCAGCATCATCAGCATCAATAATACAACCATCATCATAGTCATCATGAGAGGCAGCAACATAGCCATCGTCAGCATCATCAGCATCATCAGCATAAGCAGCATCAGCAACATCATCAGCATCATCAGCAGCATCATCGGCATCGTCATCATCATCGTCATCGTCATTAGAAGCATCATCATCAGCATCATGATCAGCAGCAGCATCAGCATCATCTTCAACACCATCAGCAGCAGCATCATCCTAATCATCAGCATCGTCATCACCGTCACCATCACCATCCTCCTCCACCTCCACCTCCTCCTCCTTTTATTCCTCCAACCTCCACCCTCCTCCAACAGCCTTCCTCCATCCTCATTTCTCCCTTCTCCGTTCTCCCTTTCTTTTCCCTCCACCTTGCTCGTTTTCTCCATCCATCCTCTTCCCTTCGGGGAAGCAAAGAAGAGGGCGTGAGGGAAGGAGATACGCGGGAGGGAGAAAGGAGGCGGGAAGGGGACAGGAGGAGAGCGGGGGGAGGAAAGAGGGTGGACACAGGAGACAGAGGGGGTGGAACGGAGGGGATAAGCGCACCCAGCAACACAAGCTAGCAGGCGGCTGTGCGCCGCGAAGGGGCCGATATGCAAGCGGGCATCCACATCGCCGGCCTTCGCCAAAGGCGCCAAACGCTAAGCGCAGCCGGCTTCACGCGTTCGCGCGGCCGCACCGAAGACAGACTCTGCACAGACCGCGAAGCACTGGACGTGCTCATCTTCGCACCCCTACAACGTGGCCTGACCACGGCATGGGTCGCCTTCGGTCCGTGGCGAACTGGCGCACGCACCTCTCCTGGACACCATCGCGGCCAGCGGTCGGCCAGCTGATTGCCCACCTGCTTCCCCATCCACATTTATACCTCCACTTTCTTTCCCCCTCCACCGTCCCCCGCACAAACCCCCATGCCCCTCCCCAATCCTGCCCCGCCTCACACTGACACACACACACACAGTTTTCAGGTCGGTGGCGCAAAGGAACCTCAATCGCGGTCGGCAGATGGAAGTGCAACTTGCGGAGGAACTTGCCCGAACACGCCGTGATTAAGAGTCCATCCACGGCCACGCAGACAGGTACACGTGGTGGAAACATGAGGCACTGCAAAAACAAACTGTAGCGGCCAAGCATCCCGCACAGCGTAGCTCGACGCCAGGAGCTGAAGCGTTCCAGCAGTCCGGTGCTAGTAACCAAAATAAAGAAGCGCAGTGTACGGTTGCCAGACCTGACAACAGGCGGCGGCGCAAGCAAGACAACACACACACGCAATGTTTGAAGTGCATCCACAGGTAGGCACGAGCACGTACGTGTGAATCGAACGAACAGCACTGGAGCGCAAGATCGAAAAATTGCGCACACACACACACGCACACACGCACACACGCACACGCACACGCACACACACACACACACATACACACACACACACACACACACGCACACAAAGAAAGACACACACACACACACAAACACAAACACAAACACACACACACACATACACACACACACACACACACGCACGCACGCACGCACGCACGCACGCACGCACGAAGTCACACAGGCACACACTTTGTTGAGCCAGCGGCGCAGAGGGTCCTCAAGCACGGGCAGCAGATGGAGGTGCGAATTGCGATCGAGCGATGTCGAAAACGCGGTGAAGGAAGCGTCAATCACTGACGTGCAGAAATGGGCACAAACACACAGACACACGCCCACACGCACACTGTTCTCAACCACAAAAAACAACATGGCACCAAGGCCACGCGCGCATCGGCGCGGCGGGAAACGAAACAGGACACAGGGTCGGCACCGGGGCTGGGCCAGCCCACGCGGCGGGGACATGCCAGGTCCCCCCCATAAGGGACTAAGCAGCACTACTCGCGAGGGGGCAGGCGCAAAGGGGGGGGCGCGAGGGAAGGGACAAGGGTAACGACCAGGGGGGCGGGGAGACGGAACGTGCGGGCCACGGGGTAAAGGCGCAGAGGGAAGCAGGCAGACCACTGACAGACCGCCGGACACACACACACACACACACACATACACACACACACACACCATCGGCCGCAAGCAGCTGAGGAAGAAAGCCACACGAGCGCGCGGGCGTCAAGCCCGAACGGACACCAGCGGGCAAAGCCAGCGCGCTCACACGACGCAGGACAGTGCAGACACTTGCCAGAATGAGTAGGCGCA